AGTTGTATAAGAAGAATTTGGTGGAATCTTCTGTCTGGGTCTGTGATTCTTTGTTCTCTAATATGCTAGTGTAAGGCTCTCAATACTCTTGCCTTAGCTTAGAAACCTGGAGAACACTTAAAATGTGATTGAAATAGAATATACAGGAGGGTGGAATAGAAGGGAAGCAGTGACAGAAGCAGGAAAAAAAATTACCAATAATATACAGGGATTTGGGGCCCAACTGTATATAAAGGGCAAGGTAGAAGAAAGAGTCAACGATGACCAGTTTTAAGCCTCAGTGACCAGGAGAATGGTAGTGTTATTAAAAAAATAAAGATATTAAGGGAGTAGCCAGTTTTGGACTATCTGTTGGTAAATTTGATTTATGATACATTGAATTGGGGGTAACGGTGGGAAAGCTAGGTAGAAATTACTAAGAAGCAGTTGGAGATGTGAGATAGTAGCTCAAGAGAGCAGTTAAGATGGGAGGTTAATGAATTTATGAGTTGTCTCCATACTGGTATAATAGTTAAAGAATGTTCATTGAAGCATTACCCACAATAGTCAGAGGTGAAAACAACTTAAATGTCCACCAGTGGATCAGTGGATGAAAAAATTATGGTACATGCATATAATGGAATATCATTCAACCTTAAAATAGGACATCTTATCATACATTATATCATGGATGAATCTTGAGGCCATGCTCAGTGAAATAAGCCAGTCACAGAAGGGCATATATCACGTATCCACTTTTATGAGATACTCAGAGTAGCCAAACTCATAGAAGCAAAAAGTAAAATGGTGGTGCCAGAGGTTGAGGGAGGGGAGAAAAGGGAAGTTACTGTTCAATAACCATAGAGTTTCAGTCATACATAATGAAACAACTCTAGAGATCTATTGTATAATTTAAATATAATTAACAATATTGTACTGTACACTTAAAAGTTACTTTAGAGGACAAATTTCATGTTAGATGGTTTTTAAAAATTTTTTAATTTTGCCAAAAAAGTGAAATCATTAAAAAATTAAAAGAGCCAAAGTGAATGAGGTCTGTTTTTTTTCTGGAGAAGAGAGAAAAGATCGAGGCTTAAGAAGAGACCTCTGGAAATACCCAGTTTTAGAGTAGGGTTAGGAAAAACTAGTGCAGGAAAGAGGCTAAAGGAGGAAGAGGAGAAGGATATTAGAGGCAATGGGTGGTAGGATTTCAAGGAGAAGTCTGCACACTGAAGAGGGAAGAGTCAAATTATATTTCCAGTTATTCCACTTAGATAAACCTCATTTCTGCTTTGAGCTCCACTTTTCTTATCAGTAAAATGGAAACAAGAGCACCTATCCATAGAAGAGTACTTTGCAAACTGGGAAAATAAATACAAACATGAGGGCTTTATTTTGTTGTTGTTGCTTTGCCTTCTTGACCCCAGCAGCTTGATTTTATTGTTTCTCCATTGCTGTCATTTTTATGAAGCTTTGCAGTTATGTGTTATAACCTAACTATGTTAGAATACTCATAAGAAAACAAAACAAATATGGTGTTCTCAGAAGAGAGGGTCAAGTGATGTCTCTTTCTTAGAAACTTACCCCATTATTTGTTTTCCATAGACTCCCAAGATTGCATTTGTTTTATAATGGAAAAGAACCAAGGAAATGTCCAATGGGAAACAGTCAACTGATTATGTCAGTTCATTTTAGACAATGAAAAACATGAAGTTACCATTTTAATCTACCTAGGTCCAGAGATTTTAAAAAGGCTACCTGAAAATTTCATTTTCTAGAGTATTGTCTTTCCTTGAAGAGTTGATGGCATTGTGTTGCAGAGATTTTAGGGGAGTTACAGAGAGCAGATTCAATTGATTTTTAGTTCCCAAGCATCACCATTTTAGCTCAGACTGGAGCTGGCACTAATCAGTTACCTGCAAGGAAACGGAGCTGATTCTTCACTTTCACCATTCCATCACCAGAGCCTCCGATGCACTCATCTTCATCATCACCGCAGTCTCCACTTTCAAGCCCTTCTTCATCAAGGTTTTTCTCCACAACTCTACCTTTGGGCATAGACATGGTTCTCAGGAGCTGAAAGAAAACAGACAGAAATGTAGCAGCTCTTCATATTTTTTTGGTAGGTCTAAAGCAGTATGTTATTAACAGAACGCATTAAATGTGCTGAATGAGTTACACAGAAGCTTTTAAAAAATCAATTTCAAATTTAAATAAGTGTAAACTGCTTATATGCTATGGAGTTTCATACTCCTGGGCCTTTCTATGGCATTTCATATGATTCTCTACTCCTCTACTCCACTTACACCAGAATGTACATTGCATCAAACCTTTCCATGCCATGGTATTGAAGTTCCTGAAAGCCTCCATGATAGGAGAACTAACATGAGGAAATTAACATAACATAGGCAAAGCATATTTATATGTTCAGAGGATGCCGAAATCAGAAAAGATGCCTATGGAAGCCTCTTATAACTGTATTTACAATTATTAAATTAAAACAACAAATGCTTTCCATCAAAAGAGGAAGATAGCATTGAATTTTATGTATACTTTAAATGAATAATTACAATTAATTGCCATGTACCATGCCTTGGTCATTAGAAAAACTTTTAAAATATCTCCCTCTTCCATCATTTCAATAAGATGCTTTGAAATTCATTTTGGTTTTTTTTGTAGATAATATGCCCATGTGGAGGCATGTTTGTTTTGCTCTTCAGTGTCTGGCTTTTCAGACACATTGTCAATGTCTTTCTTATGTTACGGTGAATCCCACTTCCCAAACGTCTTTCTGCTGACCCAGAAGCCCAGCTCACAGCCTGAGTGGTTCCTGAGGGCAGTTCTCAGACTCCATTTTATTCTTCCTCACCATATCTCTCCAATACCTTCCATGTCTGCTCTAGCTTCTGCCCCATCCCCCTTTTTAGTCCTACATCTCAGTTTCACCTCCTATTTTTATTTAAAAATTTTTTGTTGACTTCAGAGATGAAGGGAGAGGGAGAGAGAAATAGAAACATCATTGTGAGAGAGAATCATCGATCAGCTGCCTGCTGCATGCCCCATACTGGGGATTGAGCCCTCAACTTAAGCATGTGCCCTGACCAGGAATTGAACCATGGCCTCCTGGTTCATGGGTCTATGCTCAATCACTAAGCAACACTGGCTGAACACTACCTCCTATTTTTAAATAACAGCCAACAAAAAGTGCTAGATGTACTGAAACTGAGATTTTTGTCATTGAGGAAGAGGTATCCAGAAAAAAATACTGCATACACAGGAATGTATTGGTTTCTCTGGTCTTAATTGTCTATGTTTATTGTTACTGCAAAATATACCTTTGTGTTCTCTGCTTGTGATTTAACTGCTATGCCAATATCAATCTGGAACAAGCTACATACTATAGAGAAATTTGACTCTGCAGGCTTATTTTTTAAGCAAAGAAAGAAAAGTCCAAATAGTTTTTTTCTGCCCAACAACCTCTAATGGTGTCAGAGAAGCCAACCCACCTACCATCTGCCACTCCAGCATCATCTCCACCCTGCACTCTAATGTATTCCTTCTCTAACCCTCCCCCATCCACTACCATTCGTCCTACAAATCTAAATGTATACTATAGACACATAGGCTATGATAAGATAGACTAGGTGCTTCTCAAACTTTTTGGTGGAGTCAAGACCCCTTTATACTCTTATTGGGAATCACGGAGAACTTTTGTTTATATAAGTTACATCTATTGGCATTTACTATCTTAGAAATTATAACTGAGAAATTTAAAAATATTTGATAGCTAATTTAAATACAACAATAGCAAAACTATGATGTGTTAACATAAATAACATTTTTAATGATATATAAATATATTTTCCCCGACATAAAACAATTAGAAGAGAGGGTGGCACTGTTTTACGTTTGCAAATCTTTTCAATGTCCAGCTTAATATGTTAGCTGGATTATCATATCTGCTTCTCCATTCAATCTGTTGTTATATATTGTTTTGATTGAAACATTGCAGAAAATCCAGCCTCTCAAAATATCTCATGATAAAAGAGAAATATTTTAGCAGCCTCATCAGGTAATTGTGAATATTTTTCATTGATACTACAGAAAAACTCAAGTGGAAAGGTTAGTTGTAATGTAGAATATGAAACTATATAAATAAATTTTTCATGTTCTGTTACATTAAAGTTCATTGGTATGTTTTGAACTTTGAATGGGTCTTTTACCCATTTTGTATCATCACCTATGGGTTATCCTGAAAATATTGGTTCACTCTACTATGCAGGTTTTCCAAATGTTAACACCTTTCATTATATGATATAAAAAATCACATTCATTAACATAACCCACAGTCTCATTAGGAATGTCTTTAAGTATTGGGAAGCCTTGAAGCTCATGGTAGGAGATACAAATTTTCCTAAATTTTAATTTTTTTGAAAGTTCAAATTTTATCATTGGCAATAAATAATGTCAGTTTTCCTTTAACTGATAGGCCTTCTTTGTGTAAAACATCCAGAAAATACTCAAGTATGTACAACTAAAGTTTGTCAGTCATAGTCTCAAACAAAAATGGTGTTTCATTTAAAAAAGTGGCTAGTTTAGCCGATAGCTTAAATAATCCGATAAGTGCTTTTCCTGAGACACACATCGACACAGTTTACAGTAGAAATACCTTAAAGTACTTCACATTTAATAACACAGAATATTTTTTAAAGTATACTCAAGCCCGACTGGTGTGGCTCAGTGGTTGAGAGTCCACCTATGAACCAGGAGGTCACAGTTCGATTCCCTGGTCAGGGCACATGCCTGGGTTTCAGGCTCGATCCCCAGTAGGGGGCGTGCAGGAGACAGCTGATCAATGATTCACTCTCATCATTGATGTATCTATCTCTCCCTCCCTCTCCCTTCCTCTCTAAAATCAATAAAAATATATTTTAAAAAAGTTTTTCCCTTTAAAAAAAATGTATGCTCAAGCCCTGGCCGGGGGGCTAAATTGGTTGGAGTGTTGTCCTGTGAACCAAAGTTGTGGGTTTGATTCTGGTCAGGGCACATACTTCAGTTGCGGATTCAGTCCCTGGTTGGGGCATGTAAGGGAGGCAACTGATCAATGTTTCTTTCTCATATTGATGTTTCTCTCTCTCTCTCTCTCTCTCTCTCTCTCTCTCTCTCTCTCTGTCTTCCTTCCTCTCTAAAAATCAATAAAAGTATATACTTGGTGAGGATTAAAAATATATATGTATATTTATGAGTTAAGGTTTAATAAATTAATCATTTTTACTGCTTCAGCAATGACATTCTTAAATAAAACTGCCTTTAATTTTTCTGCAAGTGTATGCCATTGAAGAATACAATGACTGCTAGTACAGTTTGGTGCCACTGCCTTGATTCATACTGTGATACCAACAGTTGTACTCACCATTGCTTTTGAACCATCAGTGCAAATATCAACACAGTGAAAAAGGCAAATAATATCTCGGTATTTTTGTGCAAATAATTTTTACCTTGTGAATCCTTGGGTTTCATAGATTACCAAAGTCCATAAACCATTCTTTGAGTACCACTAAACTAGACTATAGTATCACTTCAGTTGACCAAAACATCCTAATCTCCTCCTTTACCATCATTTCTTATGGGAAAATTGCTTTCAACAAAAGCATTTTTAGGTTAATCTTCAAAAATACATCCTTCATATATGTCATGGATTACCTGAATTAGAATTGTTCACATAAGGGGATTTGTGGTTAGATATATATTAGTGAACTTGCTATTTCTCAAGCACATCTCACACCTGTGCCTTTCATTAATCCCTTTAGCAAACATTAATTGAGCACCTAATAGGAGCTGTTTTCATTTCGGTTTATTGAAAACACTATATTCTTTCAAGCCAAATTCAAATATCATTTCCTTAATAAAGCCTTCTTGGCTACCGCAGATGGTCATTATAGTTCTCCCTTCCCTTCTTCCACCACTGCTCCCTTTATCTGTACCTCCTAAATACCCCTTTATGTGTGCAACCTAGCATTATTTATTTGTGCATGTGACTTTGCTCTACCACCAAACTGAGTTGCCCAGGGGCTTTGTCTTATTTATCTTTTAACCCTATAGCGTTTAAAGCAGTGTCTTGAACACAGCAGGCACTCAAAAAATGTGCTATTGAACTGAAGCAAAGTAAAGTGGCATGGTATCTTTAATTTTTTAAAAGCTACTTCTACAAACTCATGAAAAAATGAGAAAGCCAAAGCACAGATTAATTATACAAGAACTTGTGAATGAATAGCTAAATCCTTTTGGGCGACCCTGGCTAAGATCTGTAGCTAATCTATAAAGGCTATTTTCCAACCTCGCGTACAATGCCCTCAGTATTCTCTGGTAGTCCAGTTTTTTTTTAAGTGCAATTAAAAAAACTTTAAAAAATGTTGCCATTGAGATAACTTTTTTAGTTCTTAAATTACTCTCATTTTGGAGACAACTTCGGCATTGAAGAAGGATTATAGTATACTTTCAATGTGTTTTACACAGACATCTGCTGATGAACCTAACCCTCACACATTAACAAAACAAATCCCAAACTAGAAAGCTATTGTAAATGTAAGTCTTAAAGAACACTTTGAAGCTCCAGAATGTTGAAACAAGGATAATCTTTCAGAGATGAGAAATTGTCAGCAAGGACTGTGGATTTAATACAGCCTGGAATTTGAAACAGAAATCAAACCAGCTAATTACCATGCACAATATTGACCTTTTTGTTCCCTCTCTCACTCTTTACAATGTCTTCCAGACTGAACACTCACTTTGTAAAAAGCAAGTTATGAGGGTCTTGCACACAAAATCAGGTAACTTTAGGGGCCTAGTGCTTTTGATTAACTGTTCAGCATTTTTCAAAGGACACTATCCTATTAGCTTTTTAAAAGCCAAGGCTCAGAATAATTATTATCAATGTAAACTATCTTATTAAAACACAGGTCTGATTATGTCACTACCCCACCCCCACAATCCTTCTATAAACCTGACATTCCTGCCACACATTGTTCGGCACTCCTTATGGGAAGGACTTTCACAGTCCAGCTTTTTCTATATCT